GTCGCTCGATAAAGCCTCCGCTACAATGATTCTCGGTTCTGTCTACAATGGTCGTAGTCGTAAGAATAATCGACTGCGATTGGTCAATTCTTATCGAGCGACTACGACTACGACCATTGTAGACAGAACCGAGAATCATTGTAGCGGAGGCTTAAGAATTGACCAATCGCAGTCGATTATTCTTACGACTACGACCATTGTAGACAGAACCGAGAATCATTGTAGCGGAGGCTTTATGTGTCTGACGAAATTAACCAATCGCAGTCGCTTATTCTTACGACTGCGACTCTGCGACTCTCATTGTAAACCCCGCAATACAGTCGATTATTCTTACGTCTGGGACTCTTTCATTGTAGACCCCGCATAAGATTAACAAACGCAAAAGCTATTGTCTCGGTAAATCAAACCGCTCCAAATATTGCCTTCATTGTGCGCAGAACCGAAACCACGCGCGCACAAAAGAAAAGCTACGCGCGCGCGCGCCGTAGATCGGCAGATTCGCGGTTTCGGATTGACACAACCTAACCTCACCTAACCTAACCTACCCTATCTTAGCGGTACACAACAAGCGCGCCGATGTGTGAAGGACGCCGATGTCGCCAGGCCAGACTCTCGGATAGTCCGATTAGCTGAAACGCGTGTGCTCTCGACTCATTGAGATGGGCCGACGAAAGAGTAAACGAAAACCGCCCAGCAAAAAGAAGGCCATTCAACCGTTGGACACGCAGTTCAATTGCCCGTTCTGCAATCACGAAAAGTCGTGCGAGGTTAAGATGTAAGTGCGCCGGGAACGCGCGATTGTTCGATAACGCTCGCCGTGTGGCGTAACTGTCTTTCTCTCGTTTAAATTCGGTTCCTTCGATCCTGTACTCGATTAAGATATCAGGAACCAATGAATCAGCGTCTCGGTTCTCCACTGTGTTGTTTCCTTTACAAGTTACAACAGTCTCTCTCAGTCAAGATTCTTGACTCTTTGATCAATCTGTAGTAAACCATAACGAATTTGAAACCCACTGCTGTTTGACTCTTGTACGGAGCTTTGCGTTGATCTAGAATCAAATCTCTGTGAGCTTGAGCATTCGACACCTGGTTTCTTGACTCGCGGTAGCTTCGTCAGCTTGGCTGACGCAGATCTTCCTCGAGACAGATTGCTCAAAAGGAGAGACTTGTGGCGAACTTGACAGAGCGACGGACTCAAGTTTCTTCTCTTTGCAATACCAGGGACAAGTCCAGGAGTACCGCCAGGATAACCTGCAGGGTATGCTTGGAGGACTTTCAGACGTCGATAAATCTGTTGTCGGAACCCTTGGATGTATATAATGACTGGATCGATGCCTGCGAGACCGCTAATTGAGCATCGATTCGACGTAATCATAAGATAGATGTATTTATACGATAGATTTTTTATTTACGATTCTACCCGCGTCTTCTTACAAGTTTTATAAATGTCAACTGTCACGAGTGAAGGTGTACATCTGTTAATCTGGCCGCCCTATCACAAAAGTGTGTAATTAAGTAAACATCAGTTAAAGACCTTTGATCTCGAGGAGTGGGTAAGAGTGAAGTTTGTTATAATTACACAGTCACAAATATTGTAAATCTTGATGCATATTGTAAAATATTTAACTGTCTCTGGGTCACACGTTAAATGTCACGTTAGTATAATTTAAAGCCTGATTTCGCCAAACGCCACTTAACTTTGATCTTAGCTGAGTTTGTGTTTGTGTCTCTGTCTAAAGTAACAGTTGGAAGGAGACGAGGAACGAATTAAGCGAGGCTTAAAGTTAATCGACGTTGATGAAACCGGGTCTAAGTCTAATATTACCATATCTGTGTACTGTGCACTGTATATAATTTTATTTCTCACGATAAAACTGATGAAGATGAGCATATATTCTATATAACTGCTGCAAAGAGCTATGTTTCCCCAATGTCTTATTCAAATCTTTTCTCCCCACGATTACTTGCAAAGAACACCGACTCCGATCATGTACAGTAGCGTAAGATTGACAGCGCGGATTTGTCATTTAGCGATTATCGAATGTTTACCGTGCAAATAAAAAGTGCAGAACAAAAACAATGTACATTTGTCTCGATGTAAGAAACGATTCCCGACGAAAGTACAGAGGCGAGAGAGAGGAGACGTTCTTGTCGCGTCAGGCGCAAACAGCGTGTAGATAAGAAAGTTCCAAAAATCACGTCTAAAAGTACACGCGACCCTTATCGAAAATACGTGCGAGACGAGGAGCCGCGTTATCGACGCCCTCCGTCGTTCCGCGGCGCTTGGGCGATCGTAATCGCTCCCGGGCGCGCGGGACCATTGCCCAACGATAGATTTTCGGTAAACAATCGGCCGAGTACAAAGTCAGCCGACGAATTAAAACGCCCGAATCGTTTTCGAGGAATTCCATCGCGCGCGCGTCCGGTCGGCATTTTCGCGAACGTTGGCGACAGCTCGCTCCGCTCGGCGGCGGCTGCTGGCTGCGGCGGCGGCGGTCGGCGGTGGTGGCGCAGCCAAGATGGCGTTCGCCGAGCGGAGTACGCCGTCGGGCAGGAGCGTGTGAGAGAAAAAGGAATGCCGCGGGGTGCCGCGACGACCACCGACGCTTGGCGCGGGGTGCTCGCGTGAGGTGCGAGGACCGGCCGACGGGAGTGCGTGCGCTCGGGAGTGCGTGCGCGCGGCCGCACCGGGTTATTCGACGTTTAACCTAAAGTGCGGTGCGCGCGGGGAATAGCGGCGCGCGGCGGTCAAGTGACGTGAAGTGCGGCACGGTGCGGCGCGGCGCGGCGCGGCGCGGGCTCCTCCTCGGCCGCCGCCGCTGGCATGGAAGCGACCCGGCCGCGCGGCCGAGCTCGTCGGACGTGAGACGCGGAGACGGACGGGGGCCGCCTCGCGCGGCTGCGAGGAACGCGGCCGAGAATGCGACGACCGACCATGGCGTCCGTGGCGCGCGCGTGATTGCCGATCAGGCGGCTGATCGTGAGAGCGAGAGAGAGAGAGAGGGGGGAGAACGTCAGGACGCGTCTACGACGAGAGACGTTGCGGAAGCGTAGCTCGTCCCGCCGCGCGAGCGGCGTAAACAAACGCTCCGGCCTACCGCCCTTGGTCACGTCCTCGCGGCTTCCTCTCCCACCCCGTGCGCTGCTCGACCACCACCGTCGTCACCGTGGGTGTCGCTCTTGGACACGTGCGCTCGGGCGGCTGCGACGGCTCCGCGCTCCATCGCACGTGCGTGCGATGTCCCGCGCGACGGCCTGAGAGGACGACGTGCTCCGGTTCGGGTGAGCGGCGAGAGCTCGCGGGAGGCTATCGTTTCGGCAGGTAAAGAGCTTCGCCGCGTCCATTCTGCATGCCGCGTTCATCTCGCCAGACGAACCCGGGCATTTCCGGGGAGGGTCGCGCGCCTGGCGAACATTTGCCTTTTCTCTTTACCGTGGATTCCACGCCATGTCTCTAGGCCGTGCTCAGCAGGTGGCGGAAGGTAGCTTTCGTGAGCGTCGCCACGTGAGAGAACGGAAAGAGTAGGATTGTACAACGGCACTTCTGATATCCCCTGCTGAGTAAGACGTTTCTCGAAGAAAACGATAAACTTGGCCGTGTGCCGTTAAGCATTAAGTTTTCTATGATAAAAGTTGAGACAGCCGGCTGAAAGTAGTCTCGCAAGACTAAAATCTTTTACAAAGTGCCTGTAAGGAAATATCGACTGAGAAAGGAAACTATCGAACACGCCAGCTAAGTACTTGTTTGTTAAAAACATTGCGTTTTGTAAAGGCTTGTCATAGTATAACTTGTAGTCGGCCTCGGTGGTCGAATTGGTTGAGACGCCTGTCTAGAGTGTAGGGCGGTCCAGGTTCAAACCCTGGCTGAGGTATTATTTTTCGCAATCAATTTCTTTAATTAGAATTCGCCAGCCATGGGTCGTCACGCAATTTTCTACATTGGTTAATCAACTACTGGCGTTAAGTAATTCTTTACGTTATAACAGGTAAGTCCACTCCACCATTTGGCTTGTTTTGCGTCTATCCCTTCTGGGCAGACAATGAGAGAAAAGTTGTATGTGTAGTACCCTGATAGCACAACAAGTCTCAGTTATGTCTTAGTTATGTGCTATCAGGGTAGTGTGGCTTTAATGAGTACGTATACACATACACACACACGTCGCTAGATTCTGCCCGTTTTATTACAATTAGTTGTCTCGCCAACAGAAAGTTCTTGAGTAATTGGACTCTTGTTGTTTGCATCAGCGTATTAAATTTCTATCGCCCACAGTGATTATGACCGAGACTTTACTATTTCATGCGTGTCTTATCTGTTTGTCGACGGGCTCCGAAAAAGCGTAAAGTCAAACAAAATGGTGCAGTACGAATGTATAATATATGTTGTCTGTGTTACAGGAAGGGGAGAGGCATTTTGAATGGGACAATTAAACAATGTGGGTGTTAAGTTAACAGACGATTAGTGTTGTGCTTAAACGTGTGAGACATTCCATATCGGTAAAGTACACGTTGCTACACTTGATGGACGGTGCGCACCATGTCTAATAGTCTAGACAGCTTTCTCACACGCATCGGGGATGTCACAATTGAGCGCGTGACTCCACGTGGCGGCAGCGGTAGCGGCGGCAGCGGCGGTGGCGGCAGCGGTGGCGGAGGTTCCAAGTCCACCGGCGAGGCGAACGTGATGACCGATGAGATTGCGACGGGAAGCATGAACGAGCCACAGGCGGCCAATGACGAGAGCTCGGACGAGTCGAGCGGCGAGACGACGGACGGGGAGCAGGAGAAGAAGCTCGACGCCCTGCAGTCCGAGGAGATAGAGGAGATACGCTCGGAGGGCTCGGGGGACGACATGGACCTGGACGAGACGATCGACTCGCAGATCGGCGTGAGGGTGGAGTCGGAGAGGCAGCAGCACCATCCGTCCCCGGAGGACGACGATGAGGAGCAAGTTAACATCTTGGATACTTTACCTCTGGAAGGTTTGTCCAAGTATACTGAGTTGTTAAAGAAACCCAAGATGCCACGTTGATAAAATTGTCCGTTAAATCAGTATTAATTTCGATTGATTTGACGGTTCTCTGCTTAATAATTCAATTCAATTAGATGGCTGTAATAAAGTTAACAATTGACACGGTGATCGATAGAATAGAATTCTATTTTAACGCAGTCTCTCATATTCATATTTTAATTCGAAACTTTTTCACACAATTGGATTAGTTGAGCTAGTAATATGTCGCAAATCTGGAAATTCGCTGTTTTAAAAATGCGTCCTGCGCATTAGTCTTCATAAATTGTAAAATAGATGAATTCAATATAACATGTACTCGTTGTAATCTTTTTAATATTAAGTTCCGTAACGACGTGGAGCATTGTAAAGAATTATTCAGTTGCAAAAGTATTAAAACAATTTTCGCCGCATTATTGTGTTTTAATGTTTCTCGTTCTCGTGTGAAAAGGAGCGCCTATAGAAGGTCAAGAGGTGTCCGAGGCCGATTTGCTGGGAAAACCAATATCGAAGGATTCGGAAGATGAGGACAGTATGGATAACGAGAACGGACAGTCCACTGGGGAGGAGGGCGGCGACGGTAACAAGAGGCACGTCGACTCCGATCACTCCGACAGCGCGAAGAAGAAAGTGAAGAAGGACGACGGTAGTACCGAGGGTAGCACGTCGGAGTGCGAGCTCAAGTCGGAGAAGAAGCTGTCCAATATGCGACGAAATATCCGGGAGGTGATGGACGAGACGCAACTGGACGAGGCCACGTTGTCCGCGCAGAGGCAGGAAATGGAGCGTCTCAGACGAGTGCAGGAGCAGCAGAGGATTATCCGCGAGGTGCAGCGCCAGATAGCGTTTAATCGGCAGAATAATAAGGCGCAGACGCGCGTCATCAGTCTCTTGCAGGGTAAACAGAATCAGGCTGGCACCACCATGATCTCGCAGTCGTCTTCCCCGTCGTCGTCGTCGTTTCCGTCGACGACGTCCCCGTCGTCCACTCAGGTCCGTCTGCCAAGCACCGTGCTACTGAAAGTGAACTCTGGCGCCGGCACCGGTGCTCAGTCCACTCAGATGACTAGTGGGATGCAAGCGGCACAGATGCAGAGGAGATCGATCGACAGCGGGCTGCGTTGGCAGAAAGGCAGAGGCGGCTATCAAGGAGCGCAGACGTCCATCTCGCGTGTCCCGAATCGCTCCGGCGCGCCAAATATGTTGCAACAAAGGATCCGCATGATGACACCGTCCGTGAGCATATCGCCGGTGGTGCCTAAGAAGGAACCGATGGACCGTGCAGACTATTATTCTGATTCGGAATTGTCCGACATAGAGACCGAAGAGGCGATACGTTGCGAGAAGCAGATGCACGCGGCGCGAAAGATATCCGGCGCGCCCAAGTACCAGAGACCGCCCAAAGGCAAGGACGTGGTGACGATATCTAGCTCGAGCGAGAGCTCCGACGACGACTGCATAGTTCTTAGCGATCCTAGCGGCGAGGAGGAGACCGACACCGAGGACGATCCATCCAACTCGGGGATGCACACCAACGATCGTTACAACATTCCAGACGAGCACGGCCGGGTGTTTATCAACGTGGGCCATCCCGAGAACGAGCCGGATGTGTATCTAGCGCCCCAGGTCGCCCGTATCATCAAGCCGCATCAGATCGGCGGCATACGCTTCCTTTTTGACAACATCGTCGAGACGATCGAGAGGTACAAGACCAGTAGCGGCTTCGGTTGCATCCTTGCCCACAGCATGGGCTTAGGCAAGACCCTCCAAGTCGCCAGCTTCTGCGACATCTTTTTTCGATGCACCACTGCCAAGACTGTCCTTTGCATCATGCCTATAAACACGCTTCAAAACTGGCTGGCGGAGTTCAACATGTGGCTACCGTATGAAGATCCCGCCACTACCGCCGAAAAGCAGTCCAAGGCGACGAACGTGAAAGTGGAGCCGGGAACGGATGTGAAGCATGAGGTGAAGGAGGAAAGTTGCGGCAACCAGAGCGACTTGTCTAACATGTCGCGGCCTATCAGCACGGAGTCCGCGCACCGTTTTGGTCAGGAAGCAGCAACCGCTGTCGGTGCGTCACAACAGCCGGTGAACGTCATGCCGGAGAATCCCTACGCGAATCCCCATCACGGTTACGAACAGCGCAACATGATGCCGAGCTACATGCAGGATCCTGCTATGATGAATAAGAACATGGCTGAGTCTCACGTGCCGCATATGCCGCCGAGCTATCATCAGGGAGAGATGCCGCAGAATCCATTGTACAACGCGAATCCGAATCCGCTGTCCAGCTTCCCCGACTCGATGAAGTCGGACTCGGTAAACTGCCATGGTATGCCGCCCGGGCAGAGCATCACGAGCCCGAAATTCGGCATGGAAAATCAGGCAACCGGTGTTATGTATCCTGGCATGGAGAATCGACCGCAGGGCGTTTCCATGTATCCCGATATGGAGAATCGAAACGCCGCGGCGATGTATCCAGGCATGAGTAATCACCATCCCGGCCCAATGTATTCCAATTACAATAGCATCCCCGGCACTTTCGCGAGCTACGGTAGTCAGACGAATCAACAAGAGCTGGAACGAGAGCCGAAGAAAGAGAACATGCTGCCGGAAGAAATGTCTCTCCCGAGCACTGAGGTGAATGTGAAGAAAGAACCGGAGGAGACGATCAAGAAGGAAGAGGGCACATCGACAACGAAGGAGGAACTAGACGTGAAAAAGGAAACGATAGAGAAGGTGAAAACGCCGCACAACGTAGACGCGCCAATCGGCCTGGAGGTACGGCCGAGGAACTTCCGCCTGCACATCCTGAACGATTCGCATAAAACGATGACTGCGAGGGCGAAGGTGATCCAAGAGTGGCAATCGACCGGCGGTGTTTTGCTAATAGGATACGAATTGTTCAGACAGTTGTCTTTGAAGAAGCCGAATAAAGCGAAGCGGAAACGCGGACAACCCTTCAAAGACACGGTAGACGTGGAGGAGGAAGATAAGAACAAGGGTCTGCTGGACGAGATGCACACGGCTCTGGTGAATCCTGGACCGGACCTGGTGATCTGCGACGAAGGCCATCGAATTAAGAACTCGCACGCGAGCATCAGCATGGCGTTGAAACAGATGCGCACGAAACGCAGAATCGTGCTGACCGGTTATCCGTTGCAGAACAATCTACTCGAGTACTGGTGCATGGTGGACTTTGTCAGGCCCAATTATCTGGGCACCAAGAGCGAGTTCTGCAATATGTTCGAGAGACCGATACAGAACGGCCAGTGCATCGACTCCACGCCGCAGGATATGCGGTTGATGCGATATCGCGCACACGTGCTGCACGCGTTGCTCGAGGGTTTCGTGCAGAGGCGGTCCCATTCCGTGTTACAGATGTCGTTGCCGCGCAAAGAGGAGTACATCCTCCTCGTCAGAATGACGACCCATCAACGCAAATTGTACGACACATTTATGAATCAGGTAGTGAAAACGCGCGCGGTGCCGAATCCGTTGAAAGCCTTCGCCGTGTGCTGCAAGATCTGGAATCACCCGGACATTCTGTACCATTTTCTCCGCAAGCGTCAAGCGAACGAGGAGGATGACTTGGATCTGGAGGAAACTATAGGTGAAAAAGCCGCGGCGGGCGGCAAGAAGTCTAAAGCGCGCCAGCCGAAAGGGGAATCCAAGAAAGCCAAGAAGGGCACGACGATAAAGAACAAACCCGCGGCTAGCGTGCAACCGAACGCTTCCTCGTCGTCCAACGATAACGCGGAGACCGAGAGTGCGCGCAGTACTCCGAAACCAAATAACTACACTAATTATACGATGCCAGTTTCCAATTCGGGATATTCGAATTCCGTGCCGCAGGGATCCTATCCTCCTCACGGTTATCAAAACTATCGTCCGAACGATCAAAACACGTACTACAGGAACGATAATAGCAATCACGGAGAATATAATCACGGAGAGTTCTATAATAATCAGGGACAACAAAGGTATGGCAATCAACAACAGTTCCAGTCGTACACTCAGACGTCGACGAGCTACAACACGTCGCAGGGCTACGCCAATCAGTCGCAGAACTACATGCAGCCGAACGACCGGTCCGCGAATCACCCTCAGAGGTACGGCGGTGCAGCGGCTGGACCCGACTTCAGATCAGATCAGAATCAAGGAAACAATTACGAGGCACCCGGGATGTTTCCACGGCAGAACTATCCCTATCAAGAACAGCAGCGCAATTATACGCCGAATCTAAATCAAGGGCCTAGCAATTATCCCCAGGTGCCGAATCAACCCGCCTTCCAGTCTCAGATGCCGAGTCAGTCCGCGAACATGCCGATGCCGGATTACTCGTATACTGCGAATCAAAATCAGAATTACACGCCGACGCCGGCTCAGGCGAATCCGATGTATCCGCGAAACGACGCGCAGCCGCTGCAAAACTCAACGATGGGCTACCAGGCGTCTCAGCAAGGTCAGCCACCGGCGGCCCAGACACAGACCACCGGTTACATGGCGCCGCAGCAGAATCAGAGCAACACCTCGCCCGGCCAAAATCGCGGCTTCTCGCCGAACCAGCAGAATCAGAATCTGGGCTTGCAGAATCAGTCTCACTCGTACGCGAGCCAGCAACCGCAGGGTGTGCCTCTTCAGGGCCAGGGGCACGGCTATCCTGCACAGGTGAACCCGCCTCCCCCGCAAACTCCGCACACGTTTAACCAGCAGTCAGCTCCGATGTCGCAAACCCCATCTCACGGTTACATGCAGCCGAATCAACCGAATCAAGTGCCCATCCCACAGGGTCCGATGCGCGGCTACGCTCCGGCGCCGCAGGGTCAGATGGGCGTAGCGCAGAACCAACCCAATTACCCGAGCAATCAACCCGCGCAGAACGTTAACGCACAGAATCAGACGCATAGGTATCCTCCGGATCAGTCGAGTCAGGCGCCGAATCCGCAGAACGCGGTCCACGGTTATAATCACCACGTAGTTCCCCAGTCCGCGGCTTCCAATCAAGCAGGACAGTATTCTCAGCCGAATCAGCCAGGTCCGGCGGTACCGCCGTCGAGCCAGACGCATCCCGGCTATCCGTCAAATCACCCAGGACCAGCCGCGATGCCGCAGAATCCCGCGCATCGATACGGAGCCCCGCAGCAGACGCAGGTGGCTCAGAATCAACCTATGGCGTATCCGCCGAATCAGCAACAGTCGAATCCAACTCTGGGTCAGAACGATCAGCTCTATCCCAGGCCGGACGCCGCGGTGCCGCAGCAAACGCAGACTTACGCTCCGACCGCGGGCGAATTTTCCAACGATCGCTCGGGCGCGGGCGCCGCCGGTAATCCTAGTAATAATTACACCGCCAATCAACCGCAGGCGCAGAATCCCGTGATGCCGAATTATCCGTCGGACGGCCCGCATCAGAACCCGGCGGCGGTCGGGCAGATTAAGGACGAGCCTTATTACATGCAGCGCAATTACCCGCAGCAAACGTTCCGATCGAATCAGCAATGTGGCGATTCGTACTACAGAGATCAGATTAATCCTAGCATGAGCCGCTATCCGAACAATTACTTCCCGCCGCAGAACTATCCAAATCAGTCGTACGACTATGCGACTACCGGTCATGGCACGGACATGAATCCGCGGCCCGACGAGTCCAAGACCTCGCAGCAACCCATCGGTGCTCATCCCCCTAGCGCGCCGTGCGACAAGAGCAGTAAGGATATGACATCTAGCATCGGCGTGCAGAGTCAACCGTTGCATCAGAATAATCTCTCCGGCGTACCAAGCTACAACGCGGAACCGAATTGCCAGAGTTCGGCAACTCCCGCGCCAAGAACGGCACCGGGAGTCAATTCGACGCACAGTCCTCGATTGAATCAGAGCGAATTAGGAAAGGAGGACGAGAGAGAAAAGGAGGATCAAGTTGATAAGGATAAAGAGGACAAATCCGACGACGAGATTCTCGCGAAAGATGAGGAGAAAGACTGCAAGAGCTCTCCTAGCGGGAAGGATGATCCTGGAATTCCTTATGATTGGGTAATACATTAATATTATTATATATTCATTGTTTTAATGTGAAATAAATTCGCATTAAAACGGCGGAAAGTTTGATTATTTCGTCAAACACAAAGTCAGTATTAATTTTTGTAATCTTGAACTAATTATTATTTTATATTTCGATTAAATAATTCTGTAATATTCAATTTTGTTTCCAGGCGACAGAGTTGATGAAAGATTACGTACCTGAATTAATAGACGCGTCCGGAAAGATGACGCTCTTCTTTTGCATTCTGGAGGAAGCTATTAAACTAGGGGATCGTGTGCTCGCATTCTCGCAGTCGCTGTTTACATTGAATCTCATAGAAGACTTCTTAGGGCGAAATAGCTTAAAGCATCCGGATGGTCAAACCGACGCCTGGATTAAGAATGTGAATTATTACAGACTGGACGGAAGTACGAGCGCGTTAGAGCGAGAGAAGCTGATCAACGAATTCAATAACAATCCGAAGATTCACCTCTTCCTCGTTTCTACACGAGCTGGCTCGCTGGGTATCAATCTTGTCGGTGCGAATCGTGCGATCGTATTTGATGCTTCCTGGAATCCTTGTCACGATACGCAAGCAGTATGCAGAGTCTACAGATACGGCCAACAAAAGCCATGCTTCGTTTATCGATTGGTCACTGATAATTGTCTGGAAAGGAAGATCTACGATCGACAGATCAGTAAACAGGGCATGGCGGACCGTGTGGTCGATCAGTGCAATCCCGACGCACATCTTTCGCTGAAGGAGGCGACTACGTTATCGTGGGACTGGGAAGAGGACAGCCAAGTGCAGGATTTTTCGCAGATCAAGAACAGTTACACGGACGAAGTTATGCACCGTGTGCTGGAACGCCATTCCTCCTTGCTTACCAAACAACCATTTCATCACGAGAGTCTGCTTGTTGATCGGAAAGACAAGAAACTCAGTCAAGCTGAGAAACGATTGGCCCGTCGCGGCTACGAGCTTGAAAAGATGGCGGCTAATTGTTCGAGACCCAGTTATAACTATGTTCCTGGAAATACAGCCACGCGAGGTATAGTTTATATTCACGATAGAGACCTTGTTATAAGTTTAAAAAGTAATTGCGCTCTATATACATGCATTAATTATTTATTCCAGCAGGTGGATTACAAATCAGAGCAATTCGCGGCGGCGATGGTGGCACCACGCCGAAACCTGTTGCGTCTGTCAGACCTATGCAACAGCGAGGTGCTGAAGGATTAAATCCGCGTGGTGTTACTGGTAGCAGATGGATTCCGGCGGAAGTGTGGCAGAGACAAGGGATGAGTGCGCAAGAAATGACGCTACCTCTAGATGTAGTTATACCGACCAATTCCCCGGACAAAGGAAGTATCGTTCTGAAAGCGGGTCAACGGGTGATGGTGTTGAAGAGTCCGAAGGGCATTTATATGCAACTTGAATCCGGCAAAATTATAGCAATTCGTACTGCGCTTAAATTGAATCAACAAAAGCGAGAAGAGGAGCCGAAGAAAGGTGAGTGCGATTACTAATAATTCAATTTTTGAGCATTAAATTATTATTTGAGAATATTTTATTAATCGAAAATTTAATATTTTCATCGCAGGACTTTCCTCGATGATACAGAGAAATTCCAAGCCCGAGGTTGGTTTTCCCTTACGGAATAACTCGGCCATTTCCATAATACCAAAGTCGTCCTCGAGTAACCAGACTGGCGGCCGGCCTCTCAATAAACCATCACCGAGCCCTGGTTACAAACCATTCGGTGATAAGGAAATTTCTAAACGACCCAAACCAGTTACAGCGACAGCGAAACCTTATTTGAGTCAAGTAAACTTGACCAATCAAGTTTCTCTGTCGAGACTACCCAAAGTCAAGCAAGAGCCAATGGATCATTCCACGCTCGGTGACAATTCAAACTCGTCCGACGGTCAGCTGAGAACCGAGCAACGTGTCGAGGAGGTCAGATTGGAAGACGTGGTGGCAGAAGTAAGCTCGAATACCGAGTATAGTCCCTCTAATCACACTCGTACCACTAATTCGGACACGGATACATCTCTGCCGAAATCCTCCGAGGAAGGCACTCAGGTTTACACGCCCGAAACCGTCTCCCTTGTGCAAGGCGTTCAAACACAACACGACCACTCTGAGCCAGAAATGCCGCCAACCGCTGACAAGCAGTGTTCACCGCCGGAGAAGGAGCCTCCCAAGCCAGACGCGTTAACAAATTACGGTCGACCGTTCCACAATCAAGCGGAGAAGCGAGAAATTTCGAGTGAAGATATGGCCATTGAAGAAGCGTCTCAAGTGACGTCACAAATGACGCCACCACAGGCGTCACCACAGGTGACACCGCAGATGACACCACAGGTAGCAACGCAGACGCACGGACTTGCGCCTGGTCTGATGTCTTCTCTGCTGACGCCATCGGTCATGCCGGTACCAACAACCATGTCGATAGCACCAAGTTTACCTGTTCCGTCAAGTATGCCGCCGAACATGCCGCCAAGTTTACCATCGAGTATGTCAGTATCATCGAACATGCCACCGAACATACCGTCGAGTATGCCGATATCGTCGAGTATCCCACCGAGCATGCCGATATCGTCGAGTATGTCATCGAGTATGCCAGTAACGTCAAGCATGTCGCCGAGCATATCGTCGAGCATACCGATACCATCGAGTATGCCGATACCGTCGAGTGTGCCGATACCGTCGAGTATGCCAATACCATCGAGTGTGCCGATACCATCGAGTATGCCGATATCGTCGAGCGTACCGGTATCGTCGAGTATACCGGTGCCATCGAGCGTACCGGTACCGTCCGCATCTTCAAGGGGCTCGGAAGCACCGAAAAGTATCGCCGATTCCGTCGCCAACACGACGTCGACCGTTTCCGTATGCACCAGTACCAATATTACTTCTCCGAAGAGCGCCGAACCGACTACGAGTATGCGAGACAACATGATCCAGGGCGAGCCGACACCGAGCGTACCCCAGGGATATCCCTACGCTCAATATCCAAGATACTACGACTACAGCGACCCGCGTTCCCGCACGCTGTCTAATCCCTACGGCACTTACTTCCCCGGCGTTCCACCGCACACGGCGAATCCCAGCAGTAGACTGCCAGTAGACACGACGAAGCCTCAGCCGGACCTAGGCAAGCCTATGGACGAGAGGAACGTGATGAACGTGCCTACCGCTTACTCTTCTCAAATACCGAGCATTACTGCCAAAACGCTAACGAGTAACTCTGCGACGGAGTCGAAGGGTACGGACAGCACGACGGTGACTACTACAGTGGCCTCATCGAGTAGAGACGAGACGCATATACCTACCGCATTTAGTCATCCTACTAGCACGCGGTACCCAGGACCTTACCCGCCGGGCCCGTACGACCCGTACTCGCAGCATTATCCACCGGCGCCTGGCTCTTCTGCAGCTTATCCTCCAGGTGGTGAGTCCAAAGTCTTTTATTGTAAAGTAAAATGAGAATTAAGGTTTTTCGTCATTTGCTTATACGTCAAACTTTGCCAATATCTTTCTTTTTTGTTTTCTTGACAAGTTCTCTGTGCTTGAGAAACGTGTCAACGTGTCTTTTGAAAGTTTCATTCAGTTTCGTTCGTCAGCGAAAATATTACCGATGAAATTAATGTGCAGGAGCACCCGGTTATCCAGCATACGGTGGACCCAGCTACAACACAGATTATGCCCGCATGTACTCGGCGTTCCATGGTCCGCCGCCTCCGACGGATCCCTACATGCACAGAGGATACGCACCACCGTCTTCGCATCCCCCTAATTACTACACGCCGTTCCCGCATCCCCCGCCGCCCTACCCCAATTATTCGTTCCTGCCGTATCCGAATCCGAATATGTCCAGCGAGCCCCAACCACCCGCTCAGTAGGGAAGCATCGCGGCTGAAGATAATCCTGGATTAGTGGCCGTGAAAAACGTGAAAGCCGTCGCAAAGACTTAAAAGCCGCGGTTGCGAAGCTTAATAGACTGAAGCTGTAAAACGCATCGATGTAAATATTTAGTCAGAAATATTGAGATATTAAGAGGATATTTGATGGCTGGTATTCGAGCACTTCGCAATACCAATATGTAATGTCGTGAAGGACGAGCGCGATCGCCGTCAATATTGAACCGTGCAATCTGTTGAAATGTTCAGAATATTTTAACTCTCTTGACTTTGGCTGCGTTCCGATATTCGTTGCCAAGTACTGAAAAACTATAGTATAAGACATAAACTACAGATTTTCAGTACTGGCAGTGAATATCGGAACGCAGCCTACGTCGACGCCGATCCTGCGATGCGTTTTTGTTCACTAGTTAATGTACATTGATGTACTCGTCAAGCGATACAAATCACTTCTCTGTTCGGTACCCCAGTTTCATAAGGGGCGGCGTCAAGCAAGATTTTTTACGAATGCTTAGATTATGCAATTTAGATTATATATGTTTCATACATAATTGCGTTCCCCGTGACTTTTTCTACTTTTTGTACTTGCGCGCTGTGCTTTGTCAGATTAGCCTTCTACACAATAGCTTCTTGACGTCGAGAACTGATGAGTTGTTGACGCGTATGACTCTGGGAGCATCGAAGGAGGAGTAAATTGTACCATCCGAATGATCGGAGGAAAATGAGGAGCGCTGTATACTATCGTTTAGCTTCACGCGTTACATTCAATCACTTAGCTCATTTTTTGTATATCTTGTATATTATTTTTGTAACAAAGAGGGGGATGTGGTCATTGCAACAGAACAAAATTTTGCAACAATGGTTGATAATTGCCCATGACGCGTTCCTGGTTCACGAGACCCAAGAATTAGAGATGACAGCATGGTTAAAAGCAGACTTGTATATGAGATTTTGAGTTCACATCTTTTTCAAGGCTCAGTTATGATATTAATCAATAACGATATGTTTTACGAGTAATACCTTAGAATTTATACGTAAGATTTTTATATAGTTTTTGTTATTTTTTTGCTTTTTTTTACCAGATGACTTTGCACGGTGCTATCTGAAATTTTCCAGGCTTTAATGAAAAAATGATTTGTAAACAAACTTCCATGACAAATTTGCGACTTCGCGATTTTGTATTTGATCGACTGGTCCCCCTTCATGGTGATACGGCAAGAGTAATGAATATTGGCAAGCTGTCGAGGCATTGACATTGAAACTATATTATGTAATGCAGATTGAAACTCTTCCGCGCATGAATCATGTTAGAATCTGCTGTTCAGTGAGATGCTTTCTTCATCGTACAACTTCATGCCATATATAATTGTTACGCGACTCCCGGTGATTCGATGCTTCTACCCTGAAATTGTTTCTCTTAAGATCTATATCTTACATACGAGATGTTACTCAAATCCGTGTTACTCAAACCGTGCTTTTTATCCCAACAAATAGCTATAGTTGTAATATGAACTTTCATCTTTGCGACACTTTGAATGGAACTAAATCAGGGATTTTAGTAAATGATAATTGCGCGATAAGTGTTTGAAATTCCGATAATTTATATTATTTGGTAATAGATAAAAGACAACTTGAGGGGGAAAGCAACGGATCGCGCGGAGATAAGTTTCGTTTGCATTATGCATCACTCTTCCGTATGAATATACTTTTTTTTTTACAGTACTCACCGTATCGTACTCTTTTTCTCGACGAGCGCTGAAATCAGTTGCTGTTCTCCGCGGCTGTCCGTCAATGCCGCGTCTACGTGTCGTCTCTTTCAAAGCATTTTCCGCATACAATACATTTTAAACGCGTAACACATACGTACATACAGTATTCATGAAACATTTAGCAGCCAGTAAATTACAGTCTACAGCATCCCTAGCGAGTTGTATATGGACTACGTATTATACTATTAAACGTTACGGTTTCCGAAGTAGATAATCTTACAGTAGAGCGTAGGATTGTTGTTAACTAGAAATGTCTTACGACTTATGGAAAGAAAGGAGGGAGGAAGGAAAGAAAAAGAGAGAGAGAGAGAGGCGCGGGTGCAAGGAGAGCTCGCCGTCTCTCGGACCGCGTAACGTACGTAAGCGTTAAAGGGGAGAGCCATGATTTTCAGGAAGCGACTCTTCAGACTCGGAACTGTGATATTTTATTATTAATCTCGTGTCGAATTCGCGCTGCACGCTCTTGCCCGGAATCGAAGTCGCCGAACCGTTGGTTTCGGCGGGGAGTCTCGCGGGTGGGCCCTTTGCCCTCCCCCCTTACGAAAGCAGGGAGGTGTGTCCCCACCCGCGACGCTCGGTCGAAATTGTTGCATTTACGTTTAGCGTAAGTCAATCGGGTGCACGAGATGGCTAATCCGTTTTTCCAAGTGGGACGCAGAGGCGCGCACGGGTCTATCATGGTGCTCCCTGTATACATTATTATTATAGACCAGTGGTATTCAACCCCTTTCGACCCCCGGCGTTTCGATCCTCCTCCTTCGAGCTCCTCGTGCCCCCTTTAAAGATGTATATTTGGAGCAGGTTTCCCCGCCTCCCCCCAGAATTTCGTATACTCTTCCGAAGACGCGCGCTCTTTTATACAACTGTTTCCTTTTGTTTTCTACAGTAAGCTTCGCGTTCTCGCTCGGTACTGCGAGTCCCTCTCGCACGTTCCTTCGGCAAGGACGAGGGTGGCGGCAGCTCCCCGTAGAAATTCTCCTGGGGGTACAACACGATGAAGTTTTAATCCTCCTTTTTTTTCTTTTTTATACATGTACACGCATCCTCGTACTTACCAAAGTTCTCCTTTTAGCAGATCGCGCCCACGGATCCTCCCAGACCGCGAGAGTCTCGGCGCCCCCGGCGCGCGCGGGGGAGGCCACTCCAGGTTGAATACCTCTGATTATAGACGAATTAATTAATCTAGCGAGATAAGCGTTCACATGCTGGATATATGATTAGTAATACTGTGTCTCCCGCGGCGGGTCTCGGTGTTGTCTGTTTGCCGCTCGATGAGACGTCCTCTCCCGCCCTCCATGTCCTTCCTCCCCTCGCCCCGACCCCTTGTTTACTTGGACGTGTCGCGGCCGCACGTTTCGTAGGTTCTAAGTGTACAGGTGTTACGTTTTAAGCGCGACGCTCAAGTAAGCTGTGCAATCCCACGCGAACAGGCGACAGGGAGACCGTTGCGTTAAAAAAAAAAGAACGCGAAGAAGGGAAAGGGAGAAAGAGCCATTGTTCTGAAAGTGGTCGCGGGGCTCCGGAACATTCGGGATTCGCGGGTCGTCGCCACCAAACGTGACCGCCCTTCCTCCGCCCCGGGCGCGACTGCCGAGTTCTGTTTCGTGTAGCATAAAGATCAACCCTCGGCGTCGCCGTGAGACCGGAAGTCGCGTGGCCGCGGTCCTCGCGCCGTGACGCGCCACGGCCCTTCGAGTTCCGTTCGCGTGACTCGCACAAATCGCACTCGATGTTGCTCGAGGGTTGAATTGCGGGCGCCACGATCACGCGTTACCCGGTGAGAAATGATTCGTCGATCGACGAGTCGTTTCTCACTGGGTAGCGTCTTTCACGGTCAACGCGGGTCCCCGTCAATCCTCTTGGCTCATCGTTATGTATAATTTATATGTAATTTATTATATAACTCGTTATATAATTTATTATATAACTCGTTATATAATTTATTATGTATAATTGCGGCGCAGACGAACGAGAAAGCGGGCATTTGACTTTTTCGCGGATCGACCCGCGCGCCACCCTCAGAACAAGCGGCTCGGATATCTGCAGAAGGGAAAGCAATTATTTCATCTCTGTTATAGCTTCTTTTGCCATTTTACATACTTGTACATACCCATTATTTACATTTCATACTTTATTTATTATTATACATTAGCCATTATTATCGCTTCTTTTCGATGTCAGAGTATTACCCTTATGTAAAATAAATTGTTTACACTGATGAGAATATTGTTTTGCTCATACTGCATTGTTGCGCAGAGCGAGAGAGAGAGAGGAGAGCCTATACGTGTACTTGTTTTATTTTTACAACACTCAACTTTGCATCTCATTCAACCTCACGAAACTGGAATAAGCTCGCAGGCCCGCGTTTTCGCCGCGTATCCGACGCAAAAGGCGGCCGATTTAATTTTGAGAACAGGCTATTTCCGGTCAAAGCAACTCTTTTGAGAAATTTACAGACATGCAAAAATCGTCCAGTAGACAATAAACGAATCGCACTATCGTTTTCACCGAGAAATCTCGAGAACTGTAGAAGAGGGTCGTGCCGGACGACTTTGGAAGTTAAAATTTCGAAACGTCGAAGGCCCGGGCTTTCGTGGCGTTTTGGGAAGTCGGGGAAAAACGCAGTTAGGTTTCACGGCGATTCGGCAAATCTGAGATTTGCCAAAAATCTGGTGGGAACGTCTAGGCGGCCGCTTTCAGCGTTCGGCGAAAGCACGTGCCGTGTAAAATGCTTACAAATCGGTAACCCAGCGAGAAACGACTCGTCGATCGATGTCGAAACGATATGTCGCATCGACGTCAATTTGAAGGTGTCGGAGCGACGAATCATTTCTCACTGGGAAGGAATGATTTGTGCGGAATCGACATTGTGGGACTGTCGAACGAGCAAATTCGTCTGATCAGCGCGAGAGATTCGTCTTTCACCCCGAGATCCTGCGTCGACGTGTCGAGATCTTTCGCGACGCACGCTCCTCGTTTGTGTACGCGTCAGGATGACTAAACGCATGTTACGCGCAGGCTGGGTTTATTAAAGGGTTACAATAAATTTGCCGGCGGAGGATTAACAATGCTCTCGCAGTCCTCCTCTTTATTTGTCCTTCGTTCCTTTGACAAGCTCCGCGTTTCCATGGTAATTTTTCGACGAACCACGTTACAGCGTTGTGTGTGAGCCGAGATGAGATAACTAATTATTGAAATAAAAGTATTCGGATATTAAACGGGCCTGTTTTCTGCGGACAGCTTGAGACTCGTAACGTCGCTATTATAAAACGAAAATCGTATATATTTTATTTTGTTTCGTTTTGAAGCACGCTCTTGTGAGATAATCTTTTTTTTTAAACAAGCAGTTGAATTGCAAATTATTTATATGTGATACCGAGGGTTACAATGATTTTTATTGCAATATTGCGTTTAACTGTCGAGAGCAAGATTACTATTGTAGTAAGTGCAAATAAATGTAATTAGATATTTTTTATAAGGTAACTCGAAGAGTAAGTTTTACTTTTTAATACTAACGTGCACATAAAATAGAGTGGAATAATATGTAATTGTAATTTCTAATCTCATTATTATTTCAAGATTTAAACAAGAGAATCATATGCAGTGCATTGTAAAATACAGTGATTTGTTAAGTAAATTTCTTTTATTTACTTCTCTTGGGAAAATAATGAACAAGAAGTTGAAGTCGGGTACGCTGAAGACTTGTTACGTTATTGCTGACATTAATTGTAAAATGTACAGCAGATGGCATTCGCAACAATTATTATGTATCATAGTTACATCGGCGAAAACTTGACAAAAGAGATAATTAATTAAATCAAACAAAATGCACAGTTATCGAATAAAACGTGTAATTAGCAAGAGCAGCGCCGATTGTAAAAAATTTGCTTTCGCGTTTGAAGAACAGTTGCCCACATTTAAAAAGGAATTGTCCATCGAAATAAATAATCAAAGCAATTATAATGCAGCGTTAAATTCATAATTTATTATTACGCAAATGTCTCATAAATATCATCTTTACAATACAATAACGTCGTATAATATTTCTTTTTATTTACGGATCGCGCATGGATGATCATACACAGATGATTACAATGAAGATACGGTTTTAAATAAAAACCGAATACATCGGGACACAAATGCACTACGAACTGCGAAGAAGAGTAGAATAATAATAAAATATAAAATTACTATTATATCACGAGCTGAATGGCGAAACTTCCACAAGATCGTCGGTAATATTGAAGTTGTCGATTTAAATTTCCCGCGCAAACGCCGCCAGTAGCGCACGAATTGGGGCGCGGCGCCCCACGGTGCCTCGGATAACCTAACCACGAAGCCACATGGCGCGCGTGGTAACCGCGTGAAGGTACATCGCGCAATCACTTTCGCGGCGAATGCGGCTTCTCAGGCGCGGTTTGCATCATATCGCGTGTAGGGTCGCGGCGTACCGCGTGTCCAGCGACGTTCCGCTCGCGAGGCCACCTGTCAGAGGCGTCGCGGCCACCGCCAGTCTTCTCGATTTCAGCCGGTGGGGCACTAGGAAGGCGAACAGGAACCTGAAGATCGCCCTCGCGCTCGACATGACGGATCCCAAGATCGAGGAAGTCCTGGCGCCGCTCCGGGCGAGCGTCAAGGAACAAGTGAGTGCCATATGGACGCGAAGCAGGGACTGTGTGCTTTGGCAAGGCTCACTGGCATTGTCAATATTAATTCTCTTGTCGATTCTTTTGTCCAAAACTGTGCTTGGCCATAGTTAACTACGTTAGCAAATTTTGTACCCTGGGTAATGAGTATCGACACAATGTACGGATCGCTGGTTCACTTAATTCCCCTGGAGAATTGGAGTCTCTTCAGATTCACATTCTGAAACAGAGATCCGTTATTTACTTAATTAGTACTGATTAGTAAGGCCAAATGTATTATGCATCACATATGGTAAATCTTTCGCTTATGTACAGTTATTAATGCTATACATGTTTTTTCGAGGGGGGAACCGCTGACCAACATCTTGTACACGCACTGGCATAAATGCTGTCCCTATCCTTGTGAGGTGCACGCACACAACTACAGGGACTCTAGTTGTGTGTGTGCACCTCACAAGGATAGGGTCAGCATTTATGCCGATGCGTGTATAATGCCCAGTGGGCATTACTTTTTCTTGTCTTATTTAATCTTATTTATCTTGTTTTATCTTATTTTATCTTTATGATGCCCCAGCAAGGCCTAATGCCCAAACTAATGCCAAAAAATATCTAGCCGCAAATCTGTACACCACAATGCCCTCAGGGGTTTCCCCCCCCTTATGTTTTTTGAACTCGTAATGACGCCATTGCGATATCATAATGACTTTATTCATCATTTAAAAGTTAACAGCATTATTTTGATATCATCATGACATACTCTTTTATCTGGGGTGTCGCATGACAGAGGGTCTGTTCTTTGTAGCTGAACTGACTGCACTAGTTCAGAGTTTATTCGGAGAAAAAGATAAACTCTGAATTAGTGCAGCCAGTTGAGCTACAAAGAACAGACTCTATATATTTTTATCACTATGGTGTATTAAACTATTATATCTTCGTGTTATTCTCTTATATGCGATTGTCTTTTTGCAAGACGTAACCAATTGTTGTTTGCAGGGCGACTATGTGCGGAAGCTGAAATCTGACGGCGCTCCAGAATTGGATATCAAGAAAGCTGTGGCGGAACTGAAGCTACGCAAGAAGATACTCGAGGACAAGGAGCTGTCTCTAGCTTCCAACAACATAACGTTCGACAGAGCGAGGATGGAGGATCTCCTGAAGCGTAGATTCTTCCTGGATCAGTCCTTCGCGATTTACGGTGGTGTTACCGGTCAGTATGACTTCGGACCCATGGGCTGCTCGTTGAAGACAAATCTGTTAAACGCCTGGAGGAATTTCTTCGTGCTGGAGGAACAGATGCTGGAGGTCGATTGCTCCATTCTGACGCCCGAGCCAGTGCTGAAGGCGTCCGGCCACGTGGAGCGGTTCGCCGATCTGATGGTGAAGGACGTGAAGACCGGCGAGTGCTTCCGGCTGGATCACCTGATCAAGGCGCACCTGGAGAAGGTAATTTGCGACAAGAAAACGAGCGAGCAGACGCGCGAGGAGTGCAGGGATATCATCATCAAGCTGGACGGTATGACGAAGGACGAGATGGCCGCGGTGTTGTCCAAGTACAATATGAAATCCCCGATTTCCGGCAACGACCTGACGGAACCGATCGAATTCAACCTGATGTTCGGCACTCAGATCGGACCGACGGGGCTCGTCAAGGGCTTCTTGAGACCGGAGACGGCCCAGGGTATCTTCGTCAACTTCAAGCGGTTGCTGGCGTTCAATCAGGAACGACTGCCGTTCGCCGCGGCGCAGATCGGTAACGCCTTCAGAAATGAGATCTCGCCGCGATCCGGACTCATACGCGTGCGAGAGTTCACCATGGCGGAGATCGAACACTTCTGCGACCCGAACGACAAGAACCATCCCAAGTTCGAGACGGTCAGAGACATAAATATGCTACTGTACTCGGCCTGCAACCAGATGGATGGCAGAAGCGCGCAGCGCCTCACCATAGGCGAGGCCGTCTCGTCCGGCCTGGTGGCGAACGAGACGCTGGGCTATTTCATGGCCAGGATCCATCAGTTCCTGCTGAAAGTCGGCGTCGATCCGAACCGCCTGCGTTTCCGTCAGCACATGAGTAACGAGATGGCGCATTACGCCTGCGACTGCTGGGACGCCGAGTGCCTGACGTCTTACGGGTGGATCGAGTGCGTGGGGTGCGCCGACCGGTCCGCCTATGACTTGACGCAGCACACCAAGGCCACCGGCGTCAAGTTGGTGGCCGAGAAGAAGCTGCCCGCTCCGAAAACAGTGGACGTTTGCGGGATCGTGCCGAACAAGGTGTTGATCGGCAAAACCTTCAAGAAGGACAGCAAGGCAGTGCAAGACACGCTGGCGGCATTAAGTGAGAAGAAGATCACGCCCTTGGAGAGAGCTCTCAACGAGACCGGGGAATACGAGCTGACACTGCCCAACGACGTCGCCGTAAAGATCACCAGGGACATGATAGAAGTCAAACGCTACCAGAAGACCGTTCACGTGGAAGAGATTGTACCCTCGGTGGTCGAGCCTTCCTTCGGCGTCGGTCGTATCATGTATGCCCTGTTCGAGCATAATTTCAAGGCGAGAGAAGGCGACGAGAAGAGAACGTATTTCGCCCTACCGCCAGTAGTAGCGCCGTTGAAATGCTCGGTGCTACCGCTCAGTGGAAATGATGAGTTTGTGCCGTTTGTAAGGAAATTGTGTAAGTGAAACACGAGAATTCAATTGCTATATTTATAGTCGAAAGGATAGAAAAGATCTGAAATGTTTGGCGGAAATATATAGCGAGACTAAATATATCTATGTTTTACAGCGCAAGATCTTACGAGAGCGGATGTCTCGCATAAGGTGGACGATTCTTCCGGTAGCATAGGACGCAGATATGCCCGCACCGACGAGATAGCGATACCATTCGGTATTACCATCGACTTCGACACTTTGAAGACGCCGCATAGTGCAACGCTCAGGGATAGAGACAGCATGGGACAAGTCCGGATAAACGTGTGCACATTTTTTCAATACATATCTATACAAAAGACATTTCATCTTTTCATCGTTTTAACAAGATTACACTTTTAATTGCAGTTGGACGAGTTACCTGGCGTTGTGAGGGATCTTTCCTACGGAAGGACTACATGGGAGGAAGTGGAGGCAAAGTATCCCAAGTTTGAACAACAGGAATCTTCAGAACCATAGGGAACTTAGATAGGCTCGGGAATAATTTATTTGTACTATATAGAGCTGTATTTTGAATGGCGTCTATACAAAGTTTTTATATATTCAGCATATCGAGGTGCCTATCAGAAAGCGTACTGCTAATTTTTGCAAGATCAGTTCAAGCATTAGTCAAGATTCAACATTACGATTCTCTACAGATACTGGAAGTTTATATACTATGTACTTATGTATTTATTCAGGAAACAACGTAAATTTTGTGAACCCGCAGGTAAGATTTTGCATTGTTAACAATTGCATTTGTTAATCATTCCTTTGATTTATTGACGTTACAATCCAATCACTGGCATTTTTTGAAAGCATTTACTTATTAAAAAGTTTTTATAAACACCGTAAAAAATATAGATCTGTTCCTTCATGATTTTATCTCATTTCAATATTCCATTGCCATTAATCAGATATAGTATTCATTAATAAAAGAGGAGGTAAAGGATAAGTTTAAATGTAATATTACTGCATTTTATATTCACTTAATATTTTTAATATTGTCTACAATGGAATTTATGTTAAATTATAATTCTATTTCTGAAATATCTTTTTGCATACAATATTATATACGATTTAAAAATAATTTAGGATAATAGTAAAAGGTGATTGAAAGAGAAAGAGGGGCAATAGCCATGCTAGAATACAAAGTAGATATATAACTTTTAGGCTGGTACTTATACAAGGTTGGGAAAGTCATTTTATAAAAGTATCTAGTTACAGTTACAGGTTTTTCGCTAAAAATATAACTAGTTACAGTTACAAGTTATCAATTCTGAAAAGTAACGCGTTACAATTACAGTTACTCAAAAAGTAACGAATCGTTACTTTGCAGTTACTTTCTTGCAATGAAAAGAAAAATATCAAATCTGCATTTGAATTGTAAAGCATCGATAAAGGCATTTATGCGCAAATGCAAGGCCTAATGCGATCTGTGGAGGCTTAAAAAAATATACAAAGTAACTATTAAATTACTAGTTATCGAAAAAATGTAACTGAATTAAGTTACAGTTACAGATGGAAAGAAAGTAACGAAGTTAAGTTAGAGTTACCAAAAAAAGTAACTGTAACTAACTTTGTCGTACAAAATTTTCTATTATATTTGTACGAAAAATTCAAGCGTGTTGACTGGTCGCAGGATAGAAGAGTCCTCGAGTATCTACAGAAATGTTCTATCCTGCAGTCAATCAATTTAAAACACGCCCAAAAAGTTCGTCATACAGCAAATGTAATAGCATCCTTCACGAGAAATACCGAAGCGGGAAACGATTCTACATATTTGAAAAAAGATGTGTACTTCGTACACCTTGTCAAGTGCACATCAGTTGGCACGCGCGAGAGCCAATCGGCGCTCGAGTCTGTTCGAATGCGCCGCGAGAGTAATGTTGGTAATTCGTGTAACGGAAGAGACGCGCGCGGGAAATCACTCGCGAGGTATCGGTGCTGGAGTTTTGGTGGGTCGCGCGTATAATCGAGTGTACAAACGCACTTGGACATCGAAATTACGGCGCGCGGCGTAGCGCGAGTAAAACGTACGTAAATACTTTCCGAGCAGCGTCGACGATATATGTATACGCGCGCGGCGAGTAATTACGCACGTCCGAATTCTCCGCGGACGGGAACGCGCGGGGGCGTCATTGTGGAGCCGAGGTGAGCGATATAAATGATAAATTCATAATAGAAGGCGATTAAGACAATGAATAGCCGCAGCGCAATAAAGAGACGGCGTACAATGAACGCCATTATTGAAGATATTCAGGTTCGGTTTCGCCAACGTTGCTCGACCTCAGCCTAATTCGTTCGCTTTCCAAGGCACGCTTGCACCAACGTCACGTAACTTTGACTGTCGCTTAATTGGCTCCTCTCGTATCCTTTTCCAGCCCCAGCCTCACCCGGGCTGTTCTCTCTCTACGCAGCGAGAAATGCGTCGATCTACGTCGTTTCGACGAATCATTTCATAAGATTGAGCGACGTTTGACCGGGTCTGAGAGAACAATTCCGACCCATACGACACAAATCTCCGAGAGGGACGTCTTTAGGACATCCCTAGGAGACCCTTGTGCCGTACGGGGAAGGGACAGAGGCCGGGAGATAAGGTAAGGCCAAAGTTGGCGAAACCGAGCCTCGGGCGCAATTACGCCGTAGAGTAGGCGTCCATTTTACCGCGTGAAGTTCGCGCATTAGTTAGGACGCGGGGGAGCCAATCGCGGGCGTCCGAGTCGCACTCTCGACGCACTTCAAATTGATGCCCCCGCAATTAGTGAGGACGACATGGCGGACGGGGCGAATCGCGCGCGCGAAAAGTCCGTGCGGTATCCGCGCGGCGAGTCGAGTTGGAGACGCGATCGAACGGCAGCGACGGTGAAATCGCAGCCCACGGAGTGTCGCGAGCAGGAACGTCAGTAAATATTTTGCGAATGTGCACAAGATACGCCCGTGCGCGGACATCGCGGACGCGGGGGCAGATCACCGGGGGCGATCGTCGAGAGATCGAGGTGAGTCAATTTACATTTACTCGGCGTTGGCTAGACGCTCGATATTGCCAGAGGAACATTTCGTTCGATCAAGTAGCGAATGAACGCGTTGACTGTACGAATCGAATGCATGCAGCAGCTCGCACAAGTATCCGAAACGCTTTCGCGCGATTTAATTGCGCATAAAGGGATAAGCCGATCGTATCTTATCCGAGTGAGAAATGATCCGTCAATACGATGCCGAATCGGCATCGACATTGTCAAATCGACGTCGATTCGACATCAATTTGACGGTGTCGATGTCGATTCGACATCGTTTCAGCATCGAGTCATTTCTCGCTGGGATAGCCAATTCGGTTGCTTGCACTAGTGCGCGCTCGATGCGCGCCAGTGCAAGCAATCGAATTCGCTATTAATTGTATTTGCGCGCAATGCACGCATTTTGCATTCCCGCGCGTATCGCACGCGTATCGCGCGCCCTTGCGCACCGCCGTGCGTGTCGCATCGCAGGATTTCGTGGGAGCGTGAAAGCGGAGGGAAGAGGGAACGCGAGGGTGAGAGAGAGAGAGAGAGAGAGAGCTTGGTGGGTGCGGGCCCAATTATCCACAGTGGCTCTCGAGAACGAGAAAGAGGGACGTGTCCCCAGGCGGCGGGAAAGGACCGGGCGCCGGGATTTTTCTCTTTCCTCTCTCTCTCTTTCTCGGCGCGCGAGGACGTGTCGAATCGATTCTCCGCGACTCGTTTACAAGTTGTGCTGCGAATGGCACTTCGCGAACTGCCGCGCGTTAGCCCGCTTATTCGCGAACCCGCGTAGGCGAGACGCGAATGCACCTTGCTTTTTTTTATAGCGCGATCTCTTCGAATCGCGGTCGCTTTAGGTAGGACCCGAGCTTCCAGAAGTCGAGATAATGACGTCACGCCTGTTTCTCGGAGTCGTTTTTCTTTTTCAGAAATTTAATAAGCAAGATTTTTGCTAAGAGTCAAGCGTGATCTGCAATGTGCCCTTTGCGTCTTGAAATATTCTATTTTATATAACCAAATCAATACGCTTAAAAAATCTGCCGACAATGTACAATGTACGTATTCAGTATTTTTGATATATACTTAATAGAATATTTCTAGACAAAGAGCATATTGTAAATCAGGCTTTAGAGCTGCCTGCAAATTTGATAACTTTCATACGAATAAGCTTTTATTACATTCTTAATTAACGACGTTAGGGAAAAGAATGGAAGTTTGTTTGCGCTCTACTAATTTTTTCAAACTGGCATCACTCAATTCCAGATCGTTTTATAAAATTTCGTTGTGGAAATTCATATTTGAAGCTAGGAAGGTTAGAAGGTACATTTCTAAAAATACGATGCGAATATCAAATACTTGAGAAATTTCAGCGACGTGTCAGCCCTGATTTTATTCCTCTAATGAGTAAACTTAATTTTTATCTTTACTAATATTAAATTATACAATTCCAAAAGCGATTAGACGCCAAGGAATGTAATTGCGTTTCTAAAATTCTGAAGGTGAAAATAAAGTAGAAGATTGATTCGAGTTTCCTGAGGTTTCTGGCAAGTGGGTTCTTTAAAAAAAAGATAAATGATTTGTTCTCCGCTCAAATTTAATAGTTATCGTAGCAATCCCGAGCGATATCGTCACCAACCGAATCAGCTTGCGGCTCGTATTCTCGGCACCGGGCTATTAAAACATTGTTTTGTTTCTGTGTTCAGCTGGAGCGGAATCCATTCAGCACGTCCATTGGGAATTTAAACGTTTCTTCCCTTCTCTCTCTCTTTGAAGACTCTCCCCATTCCTATCTTTTTTTCGCTCTCATTCAGTTGCAACCCGTTGATGCAACCCGTTGAATTTACGACTTTTGTAATTCAACGCCGACGAGCCCAAAAATAGGTCCACCAGGAAGAACCTCTATTTGCGTCGCCGGCAGGTCCGCGCGACATTATTACTTTTACACAGACGTCTATAGAGTGTCTCGGAACAATCGTTAATCGTGGTTACCGGAAGAAAAACAATTTCGAAATGTTTTGGTTGGCTCTCGTCGATTTCCAAATACTCTCTAGACGTACAAATTTTAAGTTTGCGACTCGAATTTCGATTTAACAGGGACGATATTGAAAACTGCTATTTATTCACAAAATTTGTATACATAACATAAATAGAGAAAGTGTGTAAGGTACAAGTTTAAAGTTTCCTTATTACGGACAAAAACAATGCTAGATTTGGAGTTAATATTGCTCATAGTTTGACAATAGATTTCTGTTTCACGTTAAAAATTGAAATTGGAAAATTGCGATAAATCACAAACATTTGTCAAAGTCCCGCACAAAACTGATCGCACCAACGATAATCGAGGGAGACCAAGAGAGTTCGCAGACACCCTGTACATATCGCGACTTTATGGTTCCCGTGAAAGAGCATTTATTGGAGCTAAGGAATACGTTCGTTCGTAGACGCAAAAGTCATTTCAGCCGGTGTAACTCTCTCGAATAATTCTGTAACTCCCGCTCCCCCGCCTCCCCCCGCCAAAGCTTATCCGCGTTTAAGGGTATACGTTTGCGCGCGGGTGAACGCAGGTCTTCGCGATGTTCGCGAGCGGGTTGTTAGCGGCGCGAAAAAAAAGGTAGCGCCGAGATTTTCCTGTTTCTCGAGTTTTAATTGGTGCGCCGTGTAATGCGTTTGTACGACGTATCACGAGGCACCGCGCCCATTATTAATTCTAAGTCCCGCTTACAGGGCGGCTCAGAAAATGATACAATCAGGATGTATTCGTTAATTGAGTCGTCTCGGCTCATTATCCGCGATTTGATTAACTTCGGTTAGTCAATATTAAACCCGTTCCGATAATTACGCCACCGATCAAAGTAATTCGATTGCATTAATTCCCATTACT